ATATAATTACATTAGATAATAATAACATTAATTTCGATGATTTAAAAAGACGTGTTCAAGAACTTTATATTGCTTCAAGAAAAAATTCAAATAATGATATGAGTCAAACATGTTTGAATATTGAAATAAAAGATTTTATTGAATTCGGCTATAAAATGGATGCTGATGATCTTTTACCAATATGGACACAGTATGTATTCGATTTTGTACAAACATTATTACTAATCAAACAAAATTGAAAGTCTCTACTACTCGTAAATCATTGTATCATAATGGCATCCAGTGTTTTTTCTATTGTATGTCTTTGAGAAGAAAAATCACTATAAGCTGTCATTTTGAAAAGCATGATTTTTATACTAGTTTAATTCTCAGTATTTAAAACTTGAATACTGGATGCAACTTAACTAACTGTACATATCCGTACAATTAACATAAATAGAATTCATAACTACGGCTTTACTTTGAGTATCGCATTGAATGTTCAAGTTTTGGATGCTGACAACTACACTAATATAAAACTCAAGTTTTTTGCAATAGCACTTTAAAGTCATTTTTTCGACGTCGAGATAGACCTAACTTCACAAAGACAGTCTATAGCGAACAACACATGATGTCATGATGGTCAGCTCATTGAGATCTACAAACTGGCATAACATTTATTGAAATTGAGACTCACACTTTGCAGACCTTTCTTCGCAAGTGAGAAGCACAAATACAAGTGCTTTGTTTATTTCTTCTTAGTCACTAGAATTGTGAGTGAGTAAATCTGCCGTGTACAAGTTAGATATGATGACAGATGATAATATAGTATGTCTTTCTATTGTCTCATTACAACTCTATACCATTATTATCTAGTTAATGATAGATTCTGATATTTAATCATTTCTATTTGGTTCTTCTATAATTCATATATATTTCATCCATTTTTTTTTCTTGAAGAACTATAAGAACTCTGATATTAGCTTTCATGAATCCAGAAATGTTTAATTCGTTGTATTTTCAGACAGAGAGATATCAAAGTAACGATTAGTGAGGAATAAATTTTCTCTTTAAACTATTTTAGAGAACAACAGAATATTGTATCATCAATAATAACAGATACTGATCAAATTGAACAACCAATCAAATATGTAGCTGGTTTAGATATAAGTTTTGTTAAAACAAATGATAAAGCTGTTGCATCGATGGTTATTTTTGATTATCAAACATTAAATATTGTAGCTAAAATAAGTGTAAATTGTAATATGAAAATTCCATATATTCCGAGTTACTTAGCATTTCGTGAAGCTCCGATATTTATGAAATTAATTGATATTCAAAAAGAACGGTGCCCTCATTTAACACCACAAATTATTTTAATGGATGGAAATGGTGTTTGGCATCCTCGTCGTGCTGGTATTGCTTCACATTTTGGTGTTTTAAGTGGAATTCCATGTTTTGGTGTATCGAAAAATGTTCTTTATGCTGATGGTATTACACGAGAGAAAATTGAAGAGTTACTAACTGAAAAAGCACCTGAAGAAAATCAATATATTGAAGTCATTGGTAATAGTGGAAATCTTCTTGGTTTAGCTTATAATGTAACTGGCTTTGTAAAAAATGCGGTTTATATTAGTGTTGGACACAAAATAACATTAACAACAGCTCTTGATATATTCAAATCAGTGACTAAATATCGTAATTGCGAACCAATACGACAAGCTGATTTACTTAGTCGAGAAATGGTTGCTAAACTTGCATAGCTAAACATTTTTTTAAATTTTTTTCTTCTAATCTGGAATGTTGGTTAAACATTTAATCTGACTTTTGGTTTTAAAAAAATAAACTTTATTCAACGTGTGAAAAATACTAACTTTAGATACATCATTTGTAAGAGAAGAAAATCAGATATATCAGAAAATATGCATATTTAAGTTTAAGTTGTTTAATCATATTAGGAAATCATTTAGATTTACATTATAAATTTCAACAAGATGAAAAGACTACAAAATTTAGTGTATTGCATTAAAATGAATAAATAAATATTATAATGTATGACTCTGTTATTGTGCAATAATTCTTTTTTACTTTTCGAATACATCAAAATAAGAACATAAACAAACGTGAACCTGTTCCTACTACTTTTTTTTGCTTACATAATAAGGTGTGTATTTTTCACTATATTAAGTATCAAAATATGTGGATAAATTCAAATCGGAAAGATTATTTTTCAGAAAAACCTAAATTGGATAAGTCAGATATAGTAAAAATACTCATCAAACAAGTACGACTTCACAACCTGAGCACTCAAATTATTTGCGTGATTACTCAAACAGTTTTATGTGTATGAATACTGTTCGTATATTGGAACGAGTTTTTCTCTACAGATTTACTCATAGACAATGATGCCAGTACTCAATGTGGTACTCATGTTTGTTTTCTTTTGGTAAAATATTCATTTAGTTTTAATTTTCTAAATTTAGATGACAAGTTCTGTATTAAAATTCAGATTTTCAGATTAACTATAAAATGTAATAGAACAAACAAACTAACAACTCTTACTACAAGTGAATTTCTATCGAAAACCAATCTGACATCTGCATAATATTATAGACAAAAACTTTTTTGTGTCGTAATCCGCATTAGATGTTTTCTTGTAATTAGATTTCCCTGTTTTACAGAATAATTTATTTTTCATTTTTCTTTCCGTATATTTTACTGTTCTCAATCTATGTTTCCGTGTACTCTTACTTGATGAGATGAAGATAAAGAAGTCTTCGTCATTAACGAAGAAAGTTTGATATTCATTTATTTTGGTAGCATAAAAAAAGAGATTTTATTTATTTTTAAAACATCAAAAAGGAGATTAAAATTTTAAAAAACATGAAAATTTACTATCAAAAAAACATATCAGATTCAAATATGGAAGGGTAGGACAGATATGATTGTTCCTAATATGAAATCAGAAATCATCGAGCTGTATGATTCTTCGTTCATTCTTTTATATTTTCTTGTTTCTTTTAATTGTAATCATTTTTTTCTGTACTTTTCAAAATAAATAAAACCACCAGCATACACAAAAATCTATATAGGAGTAATCAAAATCCGCAAACTACTCATCAAGTCTCGCAGCATTTTGTTATGTGAGTACTTCCACTAGTAAATCTAAGGATTGTTGCAAGGATATACACAAAATATTTAAAATTAACGAAGATCTAACAGAATAAAACAAAATAATAGATGATTTTATTATTCAATATAGTATAATGACTATCAAAAAGTAATGCAAGATAAAAGAAAGTTTTCAATATGATTTCATAGTAATATTTTGATTGTTTTTGTAATAGTAAATAGAAAATTTCATAGATATGAAAGATTTTTACAACACTTAGTTACGTTTATTAATAATAAAACAATCGTGTTTATGAAGCAAGAAAGTGAAATCTCAATAGACTAATATGATGCAATAGTCTTACAAATGTATTTGCATTCGTTTAGTTAAGTTCCTATTTTACATAGAATTGCAAAATATATTCTAAATATTTGATGACTTCCTTTTCTGCAATTACTTTCTCTGAAGATGATTCTTTCGAATCTCGATATCAGTTAACTTATTATGTACTGATTTCATATAGATTGTGCAAGATTCAATTATATATAAATATTCTTTCTTTTCTGTCCACTATACAAAACGAAAAAAAATAATGACATTGTGATAGCGTTTATTTTTATTTTTTTGAGATGAAAATTATTCAAACAAGTTTCGAAATGAAATGTCTTATTTCACAAAGATATTTTGTGTTATTTTATATTAATAATATGTCTTGTTTAGATTTTATAACTGGTATATTTATTGATAATTCGAGTTCAACATCTGAACTACTCTAGCTATAAGCCATCGTTTGAAACAATACTAAATCCGCAAGAAGGTCTCGGTAAGACTAAAAGAATCTCCAAAAAAATTTGTTACTATGGATCTCTGCACCCGAATTACGACTGTTGTACTCAATTTTTGAGCTGAAACTTCGTCCATCTTATATGTCTAAAAACTTTCAAGATATATCAAAGATCATTATATCTATCTAAAGACGAAATTTCAGAGCAAAAGTTCAGTAAAACATTTATAACTCGAGTCCAAAAAAGCTATCTGTAGAACAATTTTTCCGCATTTTCTACTCTCATTGAGGTTTTCTTGTGGACTCAATATGAACTCTGAGAGCCAATTACAGTTCGGATAGTTTCCTAGTTAGTCGAAAAACCAGTAAGATAATAAATGCATTATCGTGTCAATTAATGATGGTATCTAATGCTTTATATTTTTTGTATGATAATGAAATATTTTATGTTCTTTGATTTACAGTTCTATTAATCATCTGATGATTTAATAGATTATCAGAAGTGAACTACATTAAATATTAATGTAGCTATTTCATAGTATAAAAATGAAAAAGAAATCATTACAATTAATTTTAGTAAATTTTTAAATACAAAAATATATAATTTCAGTTTTAAGTTTATGTGAAAATGAGTAAATTAATTAATAACTTTTTATCGAGAACTATATATTGGCTTTGTTCCATTAAATTGGTCAATAGCTTCGAATCGAAAAATACCAAATTATGTATCGTATTGAATTTTAACAGGAAATAATATTCTTCATCATGTTCAAATGTCGCTTTTAAAACTATAATTGATGATTATAAATCAAATTAGTTTAATCAAGAACTAAAAGAATATTTTATTAAACAAACTATTGGCTACATTTTCATTGTTATCGTAGCGCCCTCACCTCTCATGTCATGCTGTTTGTGTAAAACACTCCAATCAGTGTAATGATATGATGAAATCATTCCAACAAATTGATATTAATGACGAACGATTAAAAGAATTTTTAGGCAAAATCTTACAATACTACTATTAATTCTAGTGATAAACTTGTTGAATCTCTAGCTACTGATTGTTTAACAATATTTATTAAGGAAATCCTATCACTTGTTTTGTATCTTCTAACAATTGTGTCTATGAAGTTAAATACTAAATTTGCTCTAAAATATCAACTACTTCGTGACAATATGCAAATGTTATGGTCGAAATTCCAAAAGAAAGTGAATGAAGATCTATTTGGTCATTATCATTCTATACATGCATCAATTATACCTGAATATGCAATAAATCTTGAACGATTTTCTTGTCCAAGTAAATTATTTTTCAATAGTGAACAATTATGGAAACAAGATATTGAAAATAAACGTATTAATACAGTAATATTGATGAATGAAATCAAAGTAAATCTTGATAATAAAATCAAAGATTATTATGAAAATTTTGTTCGTCTTTTTTACACATGGTTTGATCGAATGTTAGCTGCTGATGACAAAAGTCTAGTTCTTAGCTTCAACGAACGCTCTTTTCAAGTGAGAGGAAATGAAAAACTTGAAAACGGTCGTTTCTCTTAAAAAACACATTTTTCGCGAAATGTAGGAAATTTTCTGCTTTGCTCTTTTGAGAATATTATTTTCAGATTCAGTATTAAAAAGTGAGTCTATGGAAAATATTTAATTGATTTTGATCTGAAAAGCCTTTTGACGGTGGCACTCTGAGTTTGTCTTGTTCAATTCGTCATAGTACTCATTACAAAAGTATGATTTGCTTCTTTTTTAATTTCTTTTCTCTTGATTAGGAACCGTGTTTCTTTGAGTTCCATAGATGTTTTAGTCAGTATTCAATGACTTTTGAATTCAAATTTGAGTTTTACCTGAAAAACTAATACAGATTCAAAATTAGTATTATTAAACTGAGTCATATGAAGTATCTTTTCCGTCAATTTCACAACTTTTATTTTTTGTCATTTTTTCAAGTTATGACCGGCGAAGTACGATTCATATAAAGCCTAATTTGAATTCGAAAATCACTGAACACCGGCTAAAAAGCATATGATACTCAGCAAAACACGAGTTCTTAGCACAAGAGCACAATTTTAAAAAAGCGATGACATACTTGTATGACAAATGTTATGATGAATCAAATGGGATAAAAAGCTTAGCCTTCTCGCTTAACTAAGAAAACTAGATAAATTTACAAAAGCAATCTACAGGTGCCGCAATTGATGTAACTCAAGGCGTCACCATCAAAAGGCTTTCTGAATCAAAACGAGTTTAATATCCTATATATACTCAGTTTTTTACGCTGGATCTGAAAATAATGCCTGCAGAAGTTGGGAAAGAGAGTGAAGAAGAAAACCTTGCGCATTTCGAACGCAATGCATTTTTTAAGAAAAACAACAGTTTCCAAATTTCTAATGTTTTCTTACCTGAAAACAGCGTCCATTCACACTAGAAATTAGTTTTTTTGTGATTAGCAGCTCATGCTCTATGAAACCACATATATAAAAAACGTATAAAAATTTTACTTGAGATTCGAATGAAAGAAAAGGAAACATGCATGCTGATTAAGTGTTATGAAAGTTTATTTTAATAATCGAACATTATTTAATATTACGTAAAACAATTTATGAAATGGAAGATGATGAAAATAGAAATGAAGTTTTATTTGAATCATCAGTTTTAAAAATTTCACATATGATTAAATCAGATAATTTAAATGAAGCTGTCAGTGCAATCCCTGTCACAATAAGGAAGTACTTCATATACTAGAACGTGACTTTATTGATGTACAATCTTTGATTGTATATCAACAAAGTTTGTCACGGCATGAAGAAGGAGGAGAAGCACAGAAGAGAGTGTGTCCAAATTTCTACCTCTATATTTCAACAATTCTTTTAGATTGATTTCACAAAACGTGTTCAAGAACTTTATATGGCTTCGAGAAAAGGTTCAAAAAAGAATGAAAGTTCAACATGTGTGAATATTGAAATAAAAGATTTTATTGAATTTGGTTATGAAATGAATGCTGATGATCTTTTACCTATTTGGACACAGTACGTATTCGTTTTTTTGAAAGACTATTACTAGTCAGACAAAGTTGAAAGTTTCTATTACTGTACTATATAGAGACGAGAAAATAATAGTTGACTCTGTTAGAGAAGTAGGTAGCATCACTAAAGTATCAACTATGACGGAACACTCCAAAAATGTGAGTCACTATTTGCAATCAGCTTTATGTCGGAGAGGGGAAGAGCAGTGGAGGTCAAGTGCAGACACTTCAAATTTTCAAAAGGCTTCATAGAATTTCACGAGATTTCAAGATTGAAGTTTCTGCTAGCTTTTTCTCGGCTTCATGATACTATGATCAGCTAGTTGAGTTCTACAAATTGGTATAATGTTGATTATGAATAGAAACTTGCACTGGCAGATCTATCCTGTTAGTGAGAAGTACGATTTTCAATTCTTTGTTTATTTCCTCATAGTCACTAGAATGATGAATGACTAAATCTATCACGAACACATTATGTATGATGGCATGTAATAGTACATGATTTCTCTCTATTTTTTTCATTATGACTACAAATGATTCCGAGCAAACGTCGTTCCTCAATTTATGAACTTGTTAAATCTATATAGATACTGTATTAGGAAATAATTATTACGACCAATATTGTTCTATGCATGTGTCGTTCCATACCATTATTATCTAGCTAATGATAAATCCTAATATATTATTATTTATACTTGGTTATTTTATAATTCATATATATTTCATCCTCTTTTTCTTTCTTGAAGAACTATAAGAACTCTGATATTAGCTTTCATGAATCCAGAAATGTTTAATTCATTGTATTTTCAGACAGAGAGATATCAAGGTAACGATTAGTGAGGAATAACTTTTCTCTTTAAACTATTTTAGAGAACAAGAGAATATTGTTCCATCAATAATTACGGATACTGATCAAATTGAACAACCAATCAAATATGTAGCTGGTTTAGATATAAGTTTTGTTAAAGGAAATGATAAAGCTGTTGCATCTATGGTTATTTTTGATTATCAAACATTAAATATTGTAGCTAAAATCAGTATTAATTGTAATTTGAAAATTCCATATATACCGAATTATTTAGCATTTCGTGAAGCTCCAGTCTTTATGAAATTACTTGGTATTCAAAAAGACCAGTGCCCTCATTTAACACCACAAGTTATTTTAATGGATGGAAATGGTGTTTGGCATCCTCGTCGTGCTGGTATTGCTTCACATTTTGGTGTTTTAAGTGGAATTCCATGTTTTGGTGTATCGAAAAATGTTCTTCATGTCGATGGTATTACACGAGAGAAAATTAAAGACTTATTAAGTGAAAAAGCACCTGAAAAAGATCAATATATTGAAGTCATTAGTGACAGTGGAAATCTTCTTGGTTTAGCTTATAATGTAACTGGCTCTGTAAATAGTGCTGTGTATATTAGTGTTGGACACAAAATAACATTAACAACAGCTCTTGCTATATTCAAATCAGTGACTAAATATCGTAATTGTGAACCAATACGACAAGCTGATTTACTTAGTCGAGAAATAGTTGCTAAACTTTCATAACTAAAACTTTCTAAAAAAAAAAAAATATTTTTTGCCTAATCTAGAATTTTGTTAAACAAAACCTAATCTGACTTTGGTTTTGAAGAAAAGATGTTTAATTTATGTATGAAAAATACTAACGTTAGAAATTTCATTTTTTTTTATTCTCTTATTTTTAAGAGTAATACTATTACGAAAATACTGTTTAATCATTTAGTCAACAAGTCTTTGTCAGATTATCTGGTCCTATCCTTACTATCTATGCTTTTCACTCGAAAGAAAATTCATTTTCTTGTGAATATAAGAGAACAAAATGAAAATAACAAGATAGTAATGTCATGTTCGAACTACCAGGGTACAAATTATAATGACCATATATACCAAGGTCAAATAATCTGACAGGATCTCACCATTGATTCTGTAAGATCAGAATGAAATCTTACTGTGCATCATACTATAGGATTGTAGAAAATTTTATGTGACAGATAGACTTTTCAAATAACTTATAATACAACATAGTGTAAGATTTCTGACATCATGGTTTTTTTTTTGTATAAGTTTTGTCTAAACTTATAAGGTTAGGCACATGACCTTGTAAGTTCTTACCGTCTACTTGTTCCATCTGGATTTATTTTTTTACAAAAGTGTTTTATGTTGTATAAAATGCATATGTACTTTTATAAAAATTACAAAACTAAAATGAAAACACAAATATGTACTTATTAAACATAAGCGAAAAAAGAAACAATATTGAAAGCATTTACTTCTATTGAATTCTGACAATAAAATTATCTATAATAGCAGAAAAGATCCGTCTTAAAAAAAAAACCTTAATTGCATTGATGAAATAGTAAATATGATTTAATATAAAGAAAGACATAATTCCAAGGAAGAAGAATTCATTTATCATTGAATCTGATCAATAAAGTCATCTCAATGAACAAAAAAATTTAGGATCAGAACCAAATGAAACTCAAACTACTTGATGTATAATGAAATAAAAAAAATTTATAGACTTTTTTTCTAATGATATAAAAAATAAAATACAAAACTTGATGATACATGGTTAATTTATAAGATCATATAAATACATAATCTATATCTTTAATCATTTGATTTGCCTCATAAAATAGTTAAAATATTAATATGCAAGGTTTTTCTATTGCTTTTATTGGATTAGAATACTGTTTCATAATGAAGTTTTTCGGCAGTTATTACTTGATAAAGTTTTGCTATTGACTTTGAATAAGAGCCGCAGTTTTACCCTCTGATCTTGTCATTATTCGCTCAACATGGCTATGAGAGAAATACCTTCGTATATATTTTGATCATTCATGCATTACGTGAATAAATGTAAACGACAAAAAGATAGATTAATAGAAAGAATATAGATATGAAATCGATCAAGTGAATGCTGCAAGAACGTTTACCTTTACAAAACAAGAGATATTCATCACGTACAGGTAATGTGCAATCGTAGAAAAAAAAGCCTGCTGACTCACAATGTTTTATCTTTGAATAAATGAGAATAGGATTAATCGTTAGACAAAAATTTTGAGTAGTTAATATTCAAACCATTCATAAATATCACTTTACTTTCTCTATTGAGCAGCTACCAAATTTTCACCATCATTATGACTTTACGACGATCCATCATGCTATTTATATCCTACGTTTATCGATCGATTGCATCCATTAATCGAAATTATCGTTGTTGGATCTTTGTTATTGTTGCAGCGACAGCATATGTTATTATTTTTGCATCCTTGTCATTAAAAAAATCGACACTGAGTTCAGAATCAATTTTTGTTCATAATGATTTACGACAACAACAACGGCAAGACCAGAAAACAAATGAAAATGTTCAAAATAACATCATAGAATCATGTTTATCTTCGTGCATAAATAAAGCTTCTTATAAAAGAACATTGTAAGTGTCTACTTCATTTAATACAAAAAGAAAAATCAAATCAGACAATAACTAATTTTTTTTACCATTCTTTTAGAAGGAAATCTCGTAAAAAAATATCTCCTGAAGCACGTTCACGTTATTCATTTATTGATATTGATCAACTTAACGTTGACATTAATTATCTTGATAAAATACATCGTCCGTCACAATTATTAAATATCAGTGTTCCACCTGTAAAAAATCATCCAGATACACATATATTGAAAGTTAAAGGTAATCCATCTGTGATCATATACAATCGACTACCACAATGCTATGAATATACCATGAGATCATTATTAGAAGGTATATCTTATCTTCACTCGTATAGTTATGTACCAAGCAAAATATATGTTCCATTTTCTTATAATAAGTCTGCATTAATATCAATAGCACAATCATTAAATAACTATAAATTTAACGAATTAATATACGAACGACATATATATTTTTTTGATTATCATACATTAAAATTTCCCAATCATCCTGTATGGATTAATTTAGTTCGTGATCCAATATCTCGACTAGCAGCAGAGTATCAACGTTCACGTGAAATTTGTCGAAAGACAAATCGTTGTTTTGTACAAGAAGATAGACTAAATGAAACCCTTGATGAATGCGTTGCAAGACGATCAGCAAAAGAATGTATTTCATCTCAAAATGGTATTGCACGAATGTTACCATTTTTTTGTGGATTAACATTTCCAAAGCGATGTCAAGAAGAAAATAATTGGGCATTACAAAAAGCAAAACAAAATATTAATGTTTTCTATACGGTTGTTGGTATTGCGGAACACTTTTATAAATTTCTATATGTTCTTGGTATGTATTTTTGTTACAATTTAAAAGAAACTGAACTGCACTGATAAAGTCTTGTTGTTTATTTTGAGATAGTTTTTTTTTCCATTTAGAACGACTTTTACCTAAGTATTTTAAACTTTCTCGTCTTCTATTTATGAATCAACAAAACTCAAAACTAATGGCAGATAAAAGAGATTTAAATGTTCAACTTCCAAATAATACTACAAGAGAAATTCTTATGCCACTTCTTAAATATGAATATGATTTATACAATCATATCAAAAAGCGATTTTTACGTCAATATGAAATATTGCTTGAACTTGATAATTGAATTTTGTTTCATAATAAAAAACAAAGAAACATGTGTTTTTTTTCAATTGTTTAGACTTGTTCTGGAATTATCAAGAAAGTCTTTTGAATTACATGAGAGTTTTCATTGACGATAGTCGATTGTTAAGCAAAGAATACTTCAAAAAATAATCATCGAAAATATCTCAAGTTCGGTTGGCTATAAATCGATTCTTTTCAGTAAAACTCAAAACTTTAATGTAAAAAATCTATTAATATCTATTCAAAAAGTCAATAGATTTGGTTGTTCCACGAATAACTCAGACATAGAAGCAGTTGGCACTCGGTAATTTTAAATATTTGAAAGAGGATAGAAACTTTATCAAACAGTGATCAATTCTCAACATTCATTTCGGAAACGTTGCTTACAAAAATTTTCCATTGTATGTTGACTTTCAACTTAGCCATTAGAGAGAAATAATCAAGGCCTCTCTCAATCTACAGGCAGCCGTGTTTCCCAAACAATTCCTTTGTGACGCTCGAAATCGATCAACTGACTACTAATGAGTGTGAAATGAGCAAATGTCAAAGATTTTGACATGTTACAATAAGCGATGATGTTTGTTTTATTTTTTAAAACAACGGGAACTAATAAAATCGATATTATTATTAAAATATATTTTTCCCACGTAATACATATTTAAACACCTGATGATTTTGAAATTTTAGTTTAGTTTCTCATGTTGCTTTAAAATATTAACACAAACATCATCACTTGTTTCAGCATGATGAAAACCTTTGATATCAACTCATTTCAAATTGACCATTAGTTAGTTGATCGATTTTGAGAGCTTCGGAAGAACACGTATACCATGGCAACAAAACTGTCGAGAAAGGTTGACTTTGATTTTTTCTATCTAATGAGTATCTTGAAAGTCAATACAAAATGGAAAAATTTTTATGTAAGCCGTTTCGAAAATGGTCACTGAGAACTGATCACTATTTGATTGTTTAATTTTCACATGGCTTGATAAAGTTCTCTATCCTCTTTCACATATTGAAGATTAGAGAATGCCAACTATTTCTTTGCTTGATATATTCGTGAGACAATCAAATTTATTGAACTTTCTGAATGAATAATAGATTCTTGTTATTTAACTGTGAACACAAATTTATCTGTCTATTTTTGAAGTAATGACTTGTTTAAAAGTAACTTGAGTGTTTTTGCTTGAACAATTTTTATGTTTATGTTTGAGTCACTTTCAAGTTCTGATTTCTAAGACAAAACATTTTTTAATTAAACTAATGCTATTTTTGTTTTTGGAAGTCTCATCAAATTTTTGTCGTTCGACGAAAAATAGCGAGTGACGGTTTAAAATCGAAGGTTTCTGGCTTTCTCTAATTACCTGTCAATCGTTACCAACGGTTAACAATCACTTAGTAGAATTCTCTAGCAACCGTTAAGTTCATTTCGTTAGTAGTTAAAATCAAAGGCTAACGAATTCAACTGAAGTGTTTAACGTTAACAATTATCGAAAAACTATTACACCCATTTTAATGTCGATTGTGATTTTTATACTAATCGGATTTTATGAGATTTATTCAAGGAACTGGAAAAATAGAAAACTTTTATAACTTTGCCGTCAAAAAATAGGAAAAAAGGACATGTTAAATGATTAGAGACACATATAAATTAAACTATTTCAATATCATTGACTAAAATATACATTTTCATCGAGTAAATGCAATCAATTTAATTTTTAAAACGAAGTCAGGTAATTACTTTGATGAGAATGCTTCGTTTTTAATCAATAAAATTGAAATACATTGATTTACATGCCTCTTTCATCATTCAGAATATGATTTTAAAAAATTTTTTAGTCTCTGGAATATGTTATTCTCGTATGAATTACTCTGATAAGTTTTGTTGTAATTATTGAGACTTATTCTAAAGCAAAAATAAATTTTCAATTTCTAATATGAGAATATTTTTTCATTTCATCATAAGTTTGATTGCTATTCTCATTTCCGTTTCATCACTTTGTTCATAACGCGTTTAAAATATATTTAATATATGCGACAGCTATATAATTTAATTGTAATGAATCTCATCAAGTTTTAAATAATACAAGCAAAGTGTATGAGTTAACAAACAATGAAATGTTAAAATTTCATGTCATGTCGACAATTTATGAATCGAAAATTCTGCATATTTGTTGCCATTAGGGTTTTAAAAAAATAGTAGTCATTCACTTAGTCATCAAAACATTTTTTTTTTCTTCACATTCAAAAACAAAAATTGATTTATGCTATCATCTTCAATGATGTTTGAAAAAATACAGACTTTAGACATAGAAATTAATTTTTAGTAAAATATACTCATGATAAAGATAGATTTGAACAAGTTTGGAATTTATATATGTGAATTAATACGTAATCAGAGAAAATTGCGGAAGACAAACACTCAATTTCATGAAGATATTTGTACAGCAAATGGAAACCCTCTAACCATACATCCAGAAAGTGCTCAAATTCTTTCTTGTACGAGTGAATCTCAATTGTTAGTAGAAGACTCAAAGCCTTCTAGGAAAAGCGAGAGCTGTTTAGTCCTTCGTCTAATTTAACACTGCTGGCTTTATTAGAGTCGTTCACTTTTTCATAGACCCACAAAGGAAGAAAAGTACTGTTTTGATTTCGCCTAAATGAAACTCAGATTCTTTCTAGTTTTAATTTTTTCCACAATATATATATATCTATAAGAATCAAGATCAAGAAACTTTAATAAGAAATTACTAAAAAAGAAATTTCTGCAAAAGATGCACTCATGATACATACAAATGTGCTTATCTCATATCATATGATGTCTAATCGACACTTGTCCTGTTTAGTATTCAGTTGATCATAACCAATATGAATCTGCACTATTACTTATTCGTTACAACTGATTCAGAGCACTGTTAAATGATAAGTAATTATGAATAGAAAAGATTTTCATTCAGATGCATCATTCATTTTAATAAAAGAATAGTATATTTATCAGATTTGTCTTTTTGCTCATTTCTTTAATCTTTAATTATAAAAAAAAAAGAAAAACATGTGCACCTAATAATATTTATATACAATATATGAAGTGAAATATGAAAATTATTCGAAACCAAAACGTTTCTCTCCGCACTCACAACAAAACTTAGCCCATTCAACAGGAAAAGCATTACCACATTCATGACAATGTTTTGCTGCTGTCGATGCGACCGGTGCTTTTGTTTTTTGTTGTTGCTGCTGATTAAAACCACCATTTATATGTGATATTCGACGTGCTGGACTAGGTGATCGTGTTTTCGTTCCTGTTGTCCGTTGTTGTTGTGTTTGAAATCGTGGTGAAACATCATTTTTTTGTTGTTCTCGTCCAGCAGCTGCCATTATATTTAAACCATCATTTTCAGTTGTTCGACCGGTACGCATCATACCTGGTAAATAATTACCAGCTGCACTTCGTGTTTTTGTCATTCGAAGACTACCATATTTAGGTGGTGTACCATTTGTATTCTTTCTCATTGACTAATTGAATTGAATTGAAATGAAATATTATTTTATTTTTATTAAAAATAATTACTTCATTAAAAGTTGCACGTTTAAATATATTAGGATTTAATGGTGGTCTTCGATAATCTTTTTCACCATTTATTCTGTAAATATTATATTTATATAATATAAAAACAATCAATAAAATAATACATAGATATTACTTTTGAGGACGTCGTGATACTAATGTAGATGGTGCTGAATTAGTTTGATGTTGCTGTTGATTAATACGTCCTTGTTGTCCAATAGTTCTAACAGGTGTACGCATATTATTTGTTGATGTTGTATATTGCATTTGTTTTCGTTTAAATTGTGTTTCACAACTGAATATTATGATTAGATATTTTGTTTTAACAAAAAAAGAAAAAGAATTTCTTACAATGGAATATGTCTTTCTGCTGAATATTGATTAAAATGACGTTGACAATATTCACATTGAATATAATCAGTTGGAACTTGAGATGGTGTTTGTTTAGGTATTGGAGCACCGGTTTCTATAGCTCGTGTTACTTGTCGTGCTTCACGAATTGTACGAACAAGTTCATTATGATCTTCTCGCCAATTACTTGTTTTTTTCTTTTGATTATCTGCTTTAGGTTTTATACCATCTTTATAAAACTAAGATTTAGATAATATTAGAAAATAATATATATATATTTCAATGCTATTTATTTTCTAAATAAAACCTGTATAGTTTCTTTTGTTGCTGCATAAGGTACATCGGAATCTCTAGCACGTTGTTTACCCGTATCGAATATTTTTCGAGGTTGTTTTTGTGATGCTTTTTTACATATTGGTTGATGTTTACGCTAAGAATTTAGAAAAGAAAAAGTAATAGTTGATGAGTTTTAGTTTAATGTACCAAAGATTCAGCATTGAAACAACGACCACAATTTGAACAAGGATATGTTTGAATATCAGCATAAACAGGAATTGCTTGATTTTCTGTTACCTGATAAGAATTTTCAAGGGAACTATGCTTCTCTGTTCCATACATATCACTATTGACATCCATCACGTTGCATGGCACAGAACTCTTTATTACTTTTATTTTTCTTTCGTTCTATTATGTTTATAAAAAAAAACCTTTTCTTCTTCTTCTTCTTCTTACAAATGTATTATTTAAAAAGAGATCAATTTTTTTTTTTTCTTCTGTCTCACATAAAGGATTAATTAAAGAAAAGAAAAAACAAACAAAGACGAAGTTTTTTTTAAAAACATTATTCTCTCTTTCTTTTGTTTTTCTTGTTTAATAGATGTCTCCTTAATATGGATATTCATAAAAGAAAGAAAAATTGTTCGAGAACGATATCTACCAATTCAAATTATGTATCTGTTATTTATCAATCAATTTATTCGATCAGTCAGTCACTGAACGAGTATACCTAAGTTTTTGACATAATATCGATCTTTAATTTTCAAGTACAATCATGTTGTCAAAAACGATAAAATATTTTGCTCGACACAGTTTGTCAACTAATGTATAAACTAAAAATTTTTGTAACAAAAAAAGTTTGATAATCAATTTTAATTCAAGGTTTCATCTCATGCTCGAATATTAGAAGGTTTTCGTGAAGCTATTGGAAAGTAAAATTAACTCGTTTTTTTTTTTTGGGTTTTTAATAATTATTTAATTTATTAGTACACCATTAATTCGTTTATCAAAATTGAGTCAAGAAACTGGTAAATATATCAAATATAAATCAAAAAGAAACAACTTTTCTATCATTTCAAGGTTGTAACATTCTTGTTAAAGCTGAATATCTTAATCCAGGTGGTTCAATTAAAGATCGTGCTGCTTTTTTCTTAATTAAAGAGGCTCTTGATAAAAGTGATATATTTTTTAAATTAATAATTATTTTAAAACCTATAATATAAAATTGAATATAGATTTAATTAAAACTGGTGCTACTATTGTTGAAGGTACAGCTGGTAATACAGGTATTGGATTAGCTCATATTTGTAATGCATTGGGTTTTAAATGTGTTATATTTATGCCTGATAATCAATCAAAAGCAAGCGATGAATAAATTTTTTTTTTATTATTATTTTTCTCTTCATAAAGGAAAAAATTGATATACTACGTGTATTAGGTGCCGAAGTAACAACAGTTCCTGTTGTTCCAATTACTGATCCAAATAATTATAATCATCATGTATTTTGCTTTGAATCAAAGAAAATATGTTTCATTCAAAAGAATACTTTTTTATTTTTATAGGCTAGACGTTATGCTGAACAACGTGAAAATGCCGTATGGACAAATCAATTTGATAATCGAGCTAATCGACATGGTCATTATTGTACGACAGGACCTGAAATTTGGACACAAACAAGTAGAATAATATTTGTAATGGTGAAAAAACAAAAAAATCTTAATTTTATTTCTAGATGGTAAAGTAAATGCATTCGTGATGAGTACAGGTACTGGTGGAACTTTAGCTGGTACTTCTATGTATTTAAAAGAAAAAAATAGTAAAATTAGAACTGTACTTGCTGATCCACCTGTATGTTAATAGATTTTGTTATTTGAATTTTTATCTATTACTGACATTTTATGTATAGGGTAGTGTTCTATATAATTATATTAAATCGGGTAAACTTGATCGAACTGATGGTTCATCAATTACTGAAGGTTTACTTATTTGATTTACATAATTATTTATCTGTATTTTATATTATTAGGCATTGGACAAGGTCGTATAACACAAAATTTACAAGATGCACCTATTGATGAATCATTATTTATCAATGATCAAGCTACTGTTAATATGGTATGATGAATAAAATACAATATATTGCAATTAGAAATTTATTTTCTAATAGGTTTTTAAACTTTTATGTGAAGAAGGATTTTTTGTTGGTGCTTCATCAGGTTTAAATGTAGCTGCAGCTGTTGAATTAAGTAAATCAATGCCAAAAGGTTCAACAATTGTTACAACTCTTTGTGATAATGGACAAGTAAATATATATTTAATTCATTGCATATGATTGATACGTCACAAAGAAAGATCAACATTTTTACATATTTGATAAGAGAGAGAGAGAGAGTGCCTTGTCATAAATACTAAATCAAATTATGCAAGGCGTTAGCTTGGCAGAGTTTTTGTTCTCTTGCAACATATTACTTTTCTTTTTGGTACATTCGATGATTGATTTTATTTCGCTTTTTTTTTTTTTTTTTAGAAGTATTTTAATCGTTTATTCAACAAAAATGAATTAACAAAACGAGGCAAATATTTTTCTTGTTATATATTAACAAAACTAAAAAGAAATATTTATTTAGGTCTTCTCGATCAACTCCCTGAAGAATATCATAAAAATATTTTTTAAGATGAAATTCTTTTTTATATATAAAATATATTTATTCCGTTAGGTGCAATTGATGTTTTTCTTTTTAATCAATAAAATTCTCATCAATTTCTTTTTTTTTTTGTCTAAATAATTAAATTTATATCTTTTAGAATGATAAATCATGACAATTAAATTATTTGAATCAAAAAAACGATGTCTTCTAATTGGTTTGTTTTCGGGAATATTTATTACAACATTATTACCCAAATTAATAAATAAAAATAAATGGGAAAAGAACAAACAACAGACTGTTCGAGTGAATGAGAAAAATGAACATATCTTTGCTGAATATTCTCAATGGCCACCATTTCTAACGGATTCAACATTTGATTTAGTTAGCAGAATTTTTCTTTTTTTGAATAAAATAGAATGTTTTGTTTTTTTTAACATTCTATTTATATAGACGGCATGGCGTAAACATTGTTGGGTAAATCAAGTATCGTTACCTACTCAAGATCCACAGTTATATTATAAAAAAAATTATACCTCATATCCAATTTGTAAGTAAGTAGATTATGGACTTGCTTTTATTTGATTTTCCTTTTTTAAATGCTACTGCTGATTTTTTAATTTATATAGAGATGTGATAAGTTTAATTAATTCGATTTATAATATGAAAACAAATATTGCTAAAGTAAAATATCCTGAATTATTTGCTCAAAAAATTAGAAAAATATTTAATTATAATAATACATTATATGCTAAAGCACTTGAACAGGTTTGAATATATAGATGTTGTTTTACGATTGTCTTTTTTTTTTTTTTTAATTTTCAAAAGGTAATTTTATTTACTTCGAGAGAAAATATCAAACCTTTAATTCTTTTATCTTTATAAATTTATTGAAATCGATGCCTAATAAATATATCTACAAGACCTTCCCTTATCTTGAAGTAGTATTTACTACCTTTTTCAAAATATAATGCGTTCCACTGATCTTTTTCTCATGGGTTTGAATTGGAATATCATAGAGATTTGTGATTTTCATCATCCAACAGAGAAAACTTAGGATCATCGAAATTTGATTTCTCAGCAATTATTCAATCAAGCGAGTTCTTATTGGAGATTTTCTAAAACAATGTCGTTTTAGATAGGGTCGACACTCCAAGCTTATTCCATTCGAGAGTTAAATGATTGTTTCTGAGACTCTCGTGTTCAACCAATTTCCCATGCTGAGTCGAATGATCATATTTATATTTAGATTCGAACTCATCTGACACTGTTATATCAATATTTCCGAAATGTCGATTCTGTCATTACATCGAGGCCGATAATAGAATTCCAGAAATGTTTAGTTAACATAGTCAAATCAGTTTGAACCGAAAAAAAATATATAACCGTTCCACTCAGCATGGTGAGTTATGTTTGCCTAGAAAGTTTTCGGATAGTAAAACGGTTATTATTCATCAATCGCAAAGATTAAATAAAAGTTCACATTGAATTGAATTCTAACTAAGACTTTGTCTTGATAGCTTAGTTGAAAATAGCGTCTAGCTAGTTATCAATTGTAATACTATCTGGCGTTGAATCCCATTCGACAATTTTTTTTCTTTTTCATTCTTTTCAAGCGATGAATAAGAATCTTTTTACCATCTTGTATTCGAAAAATGAATAAAAAATGGTTCTATGATTTACAATTACACATACTTTTCAAGTGATCAATGGTAGAATGATTTTTTCTATTGATTAGTTCTATGAAAAGTCTAAAGTAGAAGAAGAGTAGCTGCACAATATTGTTTTCGAAAACCTTCATCAAGAATTCACATGATCGATAATTTGCTGACAATCAAAATTCGATATACTTTGATGAACACATGTTTTCTCTATTGAATGATGAAAACTGCAGATTGTTATGATGTTCTTATCAAAAGTTATTGAAAAAATAGTAGAAAACATTATATTTTTGAAATGCGTGGTAGAATACTAAAAAAAACACTCATTATGCGTCCTAACTTGGATATTACGTTCTTTGATACAATCAATCGTCGCCTCTTTCTCGGTGCGATTCGATGAATTATCTTGATTATCAATCATTTTCTATCGTATATTATCAAGAAAAAAAAAGAGCCTGGAATATCATGTTTGATATTGTGTGGAACTAGGTTTAACAAAGTTTACATCATAAGTACCTATTTCAGTCTAAATTAGTACAGCGACCGAACAAAAATAAGCATTCAGCTGTATATTTTCTGATAATGCATTAAGTCGAATGTAATATTCATCAACAGTACGTTGACTTGCATAAATGTCAAATCATACTTTATTGATAGCTACCATATTTTTTTGTCATCCGTTCTATAATCAACGCCAACATATATCTAGTACTGGCTCATTTCTTTTCAATAACAACTAGATACAGTGTATCTATCGATCCTTTTTAATGATATATTCTCACATCCATACTATCATTTAAAAGTTTATATATAATAGCAAAATAATTGAAGAAGTTTCTTTAATTACGTACGATATAACATAACGAACAATTGTATTTGTTGCTACAAAATATCAAACATACAAATTTGATATTGATTATATCATTAGATATTGTTGCTTGAAATTGTTTGATACATTCAAATGTATTCTTATTGAATCATAGAATATGAATACTTTTTCTTCAAAACATATTTCATAATTCAAACCATTAGGTCCTACGTAAATAATTAATAGAGAATAACTCTATAAAAACTTTTCAAAATAAATTGAACAATTTCTATTTATTATGAGATTTCTTTACGATTAAAATCGATTATTGTTGAATCTTTACTCTCAATGTTAGAATAATTAAAGACATAGAAATGCAAAGTTTAAAAATTTTTTCTGTCACACATTCAAAAGATGACATGTTATATCTGTGCACGATGCTACATTCATCTATAAATCAAGAAAATTTCAATTTCAAAATAATAACAATATTGTTATTTCTAGGAACTTTATTTTGTTGTAAACAAATATTCATTTGAACATACAGTTTATAATCCACTTCGTGGTCGTCGTCCTGTTCAACCACCTGAAGTATCTGTTGAACAATAGTAAGTTTATTTTTATTTTTCTATTAAAATTTTCTTTTTTTTAAGTTTAAGTGAGACAATGGAAAAAACATCTAAAAACTGTGATTTATGTAATTATCAAAAGTAAATAAATTCTTTCAACTTTTTAATTGATTTAATTTGTTGTTTTTTTTTTTTTGAATATTTACAAAAATAAAAGTATGACAGCAATGGATAGTCTTGGTCGAATGGAAAATCAACATGCATATTCAGCAGCTAATGCATTTAAATTTGATCAATGGCATTCAATGTTTATGCCCAAACAACATGATATTACAAAATTAACATATGAAGAATTAAAAGATGTTTTTACATTAGCTTGGAAATGGTAACAAAAATAATACTCTCCTTTTTTCTTGTTGAAAAAACGCATAGAAATTCTTTCATCATAACTTCAATTGACATTCACTTTTAGAACTTATGTTGAGGACAAAAAGAAGATCTCGGTGAGACTAGCAACACTTTAAAAGAGTTTTTCCCTCGCTAGCATCAGACGCTGATAAGAAAATCTGTCCAAGTGTTAAATCGCTTTTCGACCGAAACGATATTCATTCGATGAGTAGTAGAAAAACCTAAAGCGGTTTGATTTTCCAAACCTTCATTATTGAGATATCAAAATTTTATTGAAACTTTCAACAAAAAGCTGTGGTTCTCTTCAAGCCACACGAAAAACAATAGCCGAGTTAAGTCGATTTTCTATGTGATCTGAGGGAAATTGTAGTTATTTGTTGAAAAATCAAGTAAACTTTTGATAACTGAAGAACGAAGGTCTGGAAACTCAAAGCATTCTAGGCTTTTCTACTACTTATAGAATATATATCGTTGTAGTTAAAAGCGATTTGATAGCTGGAGAATGTTCCTTGGTGAATTATGATCGATTGATTTGTAAGTAGTTTCTAAAAAATCACATTACAGAGGTTTGATCTCAAACCTCATCAGTAACCTATAGGCAGAATTTGAGATCAAAACTCTGCCATTTCGTTTTTCTGAAAGTGTTCTAAGCATGGTTCGAAAGTCAAATAAACTGGCCATCACTTGCTGTTAAAGGTCTATAAGAACGCACCTTTATCGCCTTTTGCTAATCTTACAAAAAAATGATTTCTTTTTCAATGAATATTTTTATTAAATGTAGGTTTCAAGCAGCTCATAAACAATCACCATCACATCGTTTTCCTACTCTTCTTTGGGATAGTTTACCACATGGTGGTGCTTCACAAGTACATCCACATATTCATGCAACATTGCATTCAGATCATTATTATGGTTCGATTAAATATTTTCGTCTAGTTTATGTTTTTTTTTGTCTAATTTTTATTTAAAGGTCAATTTGAATCAATACGGTTTGCATCTGAACGATACTATCGTGAATATGAAAATGTTACTACACATAGACAAAAAAATTATTTTCGTGCAATACAAGATATTCATATGGCATTCAATTTAACAATATCATTCAATGGTGTTACAGTTCTTATACCTATTGTAAGTCATCAATTATTGTTAATATACGTTGACGATCACTTAATATATTTGGTTCACTATCAGAACGTTGTTTTGAATGATAACGATTTGATGTTGATGGTTCAATAAGACTTGTTGTATTTAAATTTGAATTTGATTGAGTATTTATAAGAGATTGTCGAATATGACAAAGACCATTATAAAGATTTGTTAATTTTTCAGTTAATTCAATATCATCTTGACGAATATATTTCTAAAGAATTAGAAAATTCAATTTTGAATACACAATATTTAAATCCATATGTCTTCATACCTAATTTCAATCGATTATTTTTCCTAACCAGTCTCATATTTATATTACAGATAAATGTTCGATTATTTTACTTATGTTAAAAGTGTAGCACTTATTGAGTAAAAACTTGTCAAGTAAACTACAAATATATCTTATGCACTTATGTATCAGTACAACTAAAATTTGTTGTTTTCCATATGTCTCTGTTACTTGATATTTCATTTCAGATCTCAGATAGTAATTAGTTGCCGTTTGAGCATGGTTTATAGAAGGAAACATCTTGAGATACTTTATTCTGTAAGTAATTTGTTTATAATATGAATTAGTTTTTCATGTTATAGCTCAAAACTGATAGAAAAAATGTTATGATTCCTTGTATATATTTTCCGATATAAAAAAAATGATTTTTCTGAAACAACAGAAGAGAACGACATTTTCAAATGCGCCTGTCTATCATCAATCTAACTAATGTATAGATAGACATATGTTTGATTGGTTTTTCCTATGATATCAGATAAAGTTCATACATTTGTTGATTTTCTTATGTTTTCAAAATAGTTTTTTTTTCTTTTATAATTCGAGCAATTATACATACTAATTGTTCTTGAATTTGTGTCATCAATGATGATACATTATTATCATTTTGCTTATTAGTTTCAGCCATGTTTTTAAATTATAAACGTTGTTCGAATAATTATTGTTATTCTGTTCTTGATTGTCGCGTCACATCACTTTTACCTCATCTTTACAACCCAATCGATATGCATATATATATATATATTTATATTCAACAACACATTATCGTGTCTCGTCTTCATACTCCTTGCTTGTATATTCTTTTTTTTTTTTCTTGGTGTCTCAATATGTTGTACCATATGTAAAAAGATGAAGAAAAGAAAGAGAGATAATATCTTCTAGTAGTTATTTTTTCTCCTTAAGCAATAATAGAAAATGATAAATTTGTCCTTTTGTTCTGTTTTTTTAGACGTCACATAAAGAATATGATATAATTGTCTTAGCAGAAAATTTCGATGAACGATTTATTAAAGTAATTTATCAAGTAATTCAAGGTTTGTGAATTATTTTTAAAATATTTAAAGATAAGATTTTATTTTTTTTTTTTTAGGTTATTTTAATAAATTAAAACAATTTAGTTTTTCTTCATGCATATATTTACCACCATTATCACCAAATCAAGATGATAGTGGTTTAACTCCTGTTTATTATCGTATTGTACCTCGTGGTCAAATATCTAGTCTATTATCGGAAGTTTCAAGTCTTGATTTACTGTCCATATATAATGTTAATAAACTTCCGGCAGATCTATTTGCAGAGATAGTAACTTGGTTTAAAAGAATATAAACGTTTTTTTTTTTTTTAATATTATATTTATTTGTTTATTAAACTGAACATTCTTGTTCTTGTTCTTCTTTAAGTTTTGCAATTCGTTTTAAAAATGTTTCAATTCGTTTAGATAAATTTGTATCATTAATATTTTGTTGAGTTTGATAATAAGTTTTAATTTTGGATTGCTTAGCTGTAATAAGTGCTGATCTTGCACGTTCTATTTTTGATTTCGTCATAGTTAAATTTAATTCACAATCATTCGGATCATATGATGGAATTTTACCAGCTCGTAAAGCTAATTTTAATTGTCGATAACGTTTAGCAAATATTGGATCATTTAATTTATGTTCTTGTATTAATTCTGGTGTAAGAAATGCATCAATTTCTTGTCGTCGTCGAATTGATTCTTGATATTTTCGTTCAAGTTCACCATCAAAAAATGTTGTTGGTGCTTGTTTCATTTTATTTTTACGTTGTTCAGCACGCCAAGCTAAATATTGTTGACGAGCTTCATTTTCATCTTGTAATGCAAATACTTTTAATTTAACAGGCCATGTTATTCGATGACTAATTGATGAAATAGTCGATGATTTTGTATCAATACTACTAATATTTGTTTCAGTAAGATGTTGAGACATAGTTGAAGTTGAAACAGCAGAAGACGATCGAGCAACTGAACGTTTACCTGAAGTCAATCGAGAAATTGATATTGGTATAGCTTCATCATCACTTTCTATATCTGTTTGATCAGGTTTTTGTTCATATATTGTTTGAAGTGGTGCAGTATATGGTCGAGATATTGTTGATGCAGATTTTGCTCGATTTTGAGATCGATCATCATTAGAATGAGCAAAACTTGAACGAACACCGGGTAAACGAGGACGACAATGAGGAGTAGCTGATTGAATCTAAATAAATGTAAAGTTTTTTTTTTTGTTGTTTTTGATAATATAAAATAAAAAAAATTCTTACTTTTCTATTCATAAAAAATTCATCAATATTACAAACAACTGTTTGATTTTCATCTAACCATTTTCTTAAATCATGTATTGATGTTCGCATTTTACATGCATTCATATCACTTTGATATCCAATATGTCGTTTAATAATTTTAAGACGATTATATTCAAGTTTATTACGTACTGTAGCATTAAATTCATTTTTTGTTAATTTTATTTTTGTTGATAAAATATTTTCCTCTTCAATATCTCCAACTTTTGGAGCTGAACTCATTTTTGTTTCTTTGTAAAATTAAAGAAAATCAATTCAACAATACCAAAATGTAACGACAAAAGAAAATGAAAATAGGTAATGTTGCCATCAAACGCGTGTTGATTTCTTTGAAACACTTGATTTAATACCATTATATGAGCAATCAGTAACAAATATTGTGTTTCTTTTTTGGTTTGCCATTGGAAACAAGGTAGAAAAAAGAAAAAACGTAGATGGAAGGGCAGAATGATTATAATAGGTCATCAATACGTAAGAGTCCAACGAATATATAGACATTGCACGACTGAGAATAACGTCCAAAGTTCACCTACGTAAAGCAAAGATAAAAACTCAAAATATACAAACCAATTGAGATTTCATCGAGTAGTAACGTACTGCATTTCTATCTGAACGAGTACTTATTTTATTGTAAATCTTTAGCATGGGATTCTTTTTTTTTCTGTATAGTAAAAAAGTCCGGAAAAAGTAATACAAATATAATTTTTGATTCTCTATAAACGGAATTCTCATTTTTCTGACATATGATCATTAGGTTTTTGGTTGGTTTCATATCTGTTCTGATAGCAAATGTACAAGACATCTTATGTCATCAAAAGTATTATTTTAGAATAATTAATTTTTATTGAAATTCTAGTCAAACAAGAACATGAAAAGTCCTTTGAAGATTCTAGAATCGAACTTTTATGCATTTTTAAGAATCATTCTAAGAATTGTAATCTCTGAAAAACTTACGTAAATTCTTCATAGATATGATAAAATTATTTTCGTAGACTGTGATTTTATCGGATGATTCTTTCAGCTTCGAAGAAGAAACATTTGACAAAGCTATGAATTTGTTCTTAAGAAGAAGATCAAAGTCAATCTGATCAATCAAGATACAAAGAATATATAAGTAACTGACGTTTTTGATTTAGATAAGGATGTTTTAGCATAACAGCTAGATTTTTCAAATAAGATTACAATTGCAGAGAAAAAAATATATTCGGCGGAAATCAGAATAACATTGTTTTTTTCATGTTTAAATTTAAGACAATCGATACGGTCAGTCATGGCGAGAAATTTCAAGATTTTTTTTGATTACAGATAATCTTTTCATGAAGAAAGCTTTTTAGCATTGATATATGTAAAAATGTTTGCTACTTCAGATGACTCGTAATTAATTAATAAAGTAACTACCGAATATCTCTCTAACTATGCGAGAAAAAAGCTTTTGAAAAACTCTATGGTACCAATTGTATCTACGGTGAGATTTTCTGCAAATTCAAACTAAAAAAAACTTCCTCTTGAAAGTCGTTTTCTAGAGATCATATCAAGCCCTGAAACAAAAACTTTTGTTTCACCATCATCTAGAGATTCTGAAAAAGAATTTTTAACGTTTGACATTGATTTTGAACTTCTTATTGGGTTACTAGAACAATCTTTCTTTTGCATACTCGTCCTATGTCATGTCACTAAGGAAAAACTAAATCGATTTTCTTTTTAGAAAATCTTTGGATAGAAATTTTGTAGCCTTAGAAATTGTCTACGGAAAATATCGCTAAGATTTGCTTCAATTTGGAGTTTTTTCTTAAACAAAAATACATGAAGTGAAAGTCGATGTCATCTTTTTACGTTAGTTCTTTAACTGATAATTCTTATGAACAAATGTCTTTAGCACTGATTTTTTTCAGGATATCAAGAATAATTTGGCAAACATGAAACTTAATAAAATTAGCTCTAGGATAATTCATTATCTAGAGATACTCGTGTTTTATTTTTGCGGAGTTATGTCACTAGCAAGTAATTTTGCCCATATATATATAAAGATGCCTAGTTTAAGAGGCTAATCTCTATAGGTTGAAGATGTATGTAAGCAAGTTGTCTTAGTTTCAACTGTGGTCTAGATCTAGAGAAAACAAATTCGAATAAGAGTGTTGCCGCAGTATTGAAATTGATTATCTTGAATTGGCATATTTCTATATTACAATTAAAAATTTCAATTCAATTCTTTTTCTTTAGTATGGAATTATTATTAACACTAATGCTTACGGCCAATATAAGAATAATACTAAGCTGCCATCTTCGATTTTAGATTTAAATAGCATCGAATTTAAAAGTATTCTAAAATACTCGTTTTTCATTTATTCAATTGATGTATCACACTTCTTTGTTTGGGTTACTTTGGTTGAATTGTGCTTTGATTTGTACGAGTTATAGCATCATTGGCACAAAACCATTGAATACCTTTAAGCATAATCTTTAGTTGCGGTTCGAATAATTTTTTTTCGTCGTCTGAATCCAATTCTGGCAAATCGGGATCAAAATTGTTGACATATATTTTTACTCAGAATACTGATTCACAAATTTTAGCTGCCGATATCCTGAAGTACTTTTACTTTTCATTATATTTCGTATTTATGCTAAAATTTTAATTCGTTATCTGTTTGTATTCGGGATTTACTTAATTTCTTGTTTGACAAATTTCAAAAAGTAGATTTTCGCTTAGCAAGTTCGAAATATTTTACTTGAAAGTTCATTACTAAAGTTCTTAAATTTGATTACAAAACATTCAAGATTATTTAAAATATCAACAATATTTCATGGACAAATCCGTTAACGCAATCTGATAACATTAAATTGAAACACGATAAAGCCGACTCTGTTGTCAACAAGGTTGTTTAACACTCATTATATATTACTAACATTTGTTCTTGGTTAATCTTTGCCGCGATTCCGGTTTTTGATTCGAAATCATTCTGATCTGTCCCATTAATTTTATCGAATAATTCTAGTTTTCTAAATTTTTTATGTTCTATCGAACAGTGCTGAAAATAAAAAATATAGGACTATTTATCAAAATTTAAAAAAATCAGAGACAATTGCCGATAGAAAAAGGATAGTTATTTTCATATTTTGGAGTAAGCATATAAGGAGACAAAGAAAAATCGTTTTAATTAATACTCCTCTCTTATGAACCATAAAACACACTTCGAGAGCTTGAGAAGTAGTTTTTTCATGATAGAATTCAACAACCATCTCTTGAAAAGAACACGACAAACTTGTTTTCTGATGATACCAGTGACTGACTAAGGATGTAAACGTGTAGCTCTCTACTTCAATATTCATTTCAAAACGTACTTCATAATAATGAATGTCGACAAGTAGAAAAGAAGTCTCTTCGACTAGATAAATCATAACATTGATAAATGAAGGGTTACAAGAACTTTCTTTTTCTTGTTCGAACAATTAGAAGATGAATTTGGCATGTTCAAAATTAAATCAGTAAATATAATGAAGAAGGCATCTATTCAAAATATATGTGGGTTGTTAATTATAAGGAAGGTCATAATATCGAATTCGAATCTTTTCTTGCATCTTCATAGAAAGTACGATTGAACCGAAGATTCACACCCACACCATTGAATGATTTATAACTTTTAGTCGATTGCTGTTGAGCAAGGAGAGGAGGAAGGAAATTTTGTCATAGGTATCTTCATATTATCTATATAAGTGAGAAATATTACATAAAGGAAAAATGTAAAGAACAATGTTTTGTCATATTCTTATCTGCTATTCGATCGAGGATAGTAAGAGTTACAGATGACAAAACAAACTTTTCATTTAAACATTCTATAGTATAATGTTGTGTGGAATAGATTATATCAGGTTTTGAATCAGCTGCACGCAACCTAAATGAGAACTAATTTCTTGTTTCAAGTGGGAATCAACTATTGTTATTGAAATTGACTAATAGGAAAATAAGGAATTTTATTTCGAGAGAGAATTGATTTCATCACTAAATGAACAACTCTATTGTACAAACCCTGATAGAAGATAATGCAAACACGAAAATATGAAACCATGTAAAGATACAAGTAATTGATTTCTTTTCAATTCTATAACAAAACTATTTCTCTTTGATGTCGTCATGATTAAGTGATTTCTACATTCATGATATATTGTTCAGTTCATGTATAGATGTTCTATAGTTTTCTATTCGAAAGTTGATACGATTCCATTCAATTTTCAAAAGTTTATGAGTAGCTATGGTTGTTGATTTGGAGTATCCTAATTGCAAAGCAATTGAAGCATCTAAAAATATTTTCATTCTCACATCAAAGGATGCAGACTCGAGTTTCCTTAAAATAATACAACAATAGAATAATTTAGAAATCTGTATAGTCTAAATATATATTGAACAAAGTACATTCACTTTGAAAAATATCGAGTTATTCAATTCGAACAAATAGAATAGTTTATGAAGCGTAACACCGAAATTCCTATATATATTTTGTACTTCATAAATTTTAGATTTATGAGAAGATTCCTTCAACATTTGTGTTGTATTCTTATAACGATGGAATAGTTTATTTTTTGTTAACAATTAAAAATTCAATTGTTATATCTAGCATTAATACACATAAAAAGAAATGCTTTTCTTCTTGTCATAAAAGGCTCATAATACAACAGATTTAAGAAGAAACTTTGAAACAGATAAGACGCCCGACCGTCGATTTCCAACACGCAAATGTAATATGGAAAAAAGAATAAAAATAGAGAATAAAAGGAAGGATTTTCTTCCTTTCTTTGAAGAAAAATATCAGAAAAAGGATGTGAGTGTGTCAAGTAAATGCATAATAACGTTATAGAACAAGAAATTAGCACACGTTCTATGTAACAAAAGAAAAAAGAAAAACAACAACGAAGGTCTTCTTTCCTACTTTTTAAAATTGTCATAATCATAGTTTTCATCGTTTTAAACAAAGATCTAGGCTTTGCTATTAAAGAAAAGAAAACAAATGCAATTTATTATCTCATTAGTTTTAATTTTGTTACGAAATTAATCATTTAACGACATAATGGAAGAAACAATTCATGAAAAAATGATTGTTATGAATCCAACATCATTCTCTTATACATCGAATATTGTGCAGAAGTTCGAAGAATTTTCGCGTCAATGCAAAATTTGTGGAGCTCCTGCTTTACATAATTATTATGGTGTCCTTTCATGTTCACCATGTAAAATGTTTTTCAAACGAAATGCTTTAACAGGACAAGTTAGTTGTTTCAATATACTGTTTCCGTTTTTCTTTAATTTTTTGTTTAGAAACGCTTTGAATGTGTTTTTTCTGGTCAATGTGATGTTAATATTAATAATCGTCGTATATGTTCTTCTTGTCGACTTGCTAAATGCTTTACAAGTGGCATGCGATCTACTTTAATTCGATGTTCCTTATTGAAAAACATTAAATCAAAACAAAAACAGGATAAAATGTTGAAATCCATTGCCAAAACATCGAATATTTTGCAAACGATACAAGAACAAAACCAACCACACCGTGTAAGTTTCTTTGAACGAACTTGTAGGTTATTTTTTAAAGAAAGTTTTGTTATTTGCTTACAATCAGAAAGAACTATGTTCTCTTTTTGTTATGCCTGAAATGAATAGTACAATGCAGTTTCTCACTGCTCAAATATCTGAACATATTTTAATAGTTATTTTATTTTGTGTTGATTAGATAATTGATTTTTCCTTCCGCTCCAGTTAATGAAAGTCATAGTCCATTACAAAAAGGCGAAAATGAGATTCAATGTATGATTTAATCACTTATAATCAATATAGTTAATTGGTTAGCATGCCATTGCTTAATATTACTTTTGATGACTTTCATCATCTTCTCTCTCTAAAAATCATGGATTTTGCAGAAGTATGATTTTTCGAGAGGTCGATACAAGAAACTATGAATTTTAGAGATGTCTTATAAATTTTAATGAACTTCAAAGAAGTAAAAAGCTTTGACAAGATTCAAAAAGAGATGTGGGTGAGAGTGTAGACGTATAGAAAACTTATATCAACACGCATACTGAACCGCCTCACACTTACACTACCCGTAATATTTTAATAAAGCTAGTGTAAGCTTCACTTTGATTATAATGTGTTTAGCTTTTTAACTGAATGTATCGATTTTATAGGTAGTTCAATTTTAGAATGAAATGCCATTTTCCTAAAATTAAAAGTCCTCTTAAACAATAACTTTCTAGAGATCTAGTTGTGAAAATTATTTTACATAGACCACTATTTATGCTCTATTTAATGGTTAAATCAAAGCTTCTAAAAAACGTTCACCAAGAATAAGACGGACAGATTTTTTAAGGTAATTTTTATAAACATCGACTTTTGAGCTTGCTCTGTTGCAGTCGTGCATAAGCCGAATAAAAAAAAAACAAAATATCAATGTCTATATAATTTAACAAGGGTTGCAAGAGTAGTATACTTAAATATTGCTAGGAAAAAAGTCGATTTAAATCTGAGAGGTGTTGCGTAAAAGTACCCTATAACATGTTTGTGTCTTTTCTTTCTCGTATTGACTTTATAAATCAGTGAGAAAACCACAAAATGTTGCACTTTGATAGCCGAATAAAAGCAACAAAGAAGTGCTGCAAAACTTTGAAGCACATTGGCGAGATGTTACCATTTGTCGACATTCGTGTGTGCTATTATCTAAATTTACTGAATAATCCTTATTACTGATGCAATATATAATGAGTCTAAGAAGGAAAGTGAACTACTAATTGTCTTCATTATTGAGTGTTCAGATATATGGGAAAATATTCTAAAGATTCAAGTGTTCCACTTGAGCGTTGCGAATGAATCCAGCCATCTTCTTAATGAAAAGTGTTTCTTTTTTTTTAATGAAAGCATGAGTGTGTGCTGAAATATATTAAGGTAATTATCGAATTGTCAAAAAACTATGTATCGTTGCTAAAAATGAACTATTAAAGAAATATTAGCCTAATGTTGCCAAATGGTAACAGCCGGCTGGAAAGGATTATAAAATCTTTTTTTTATTTTCCTATGTGTATATGTTTCTTTCGTCTGCACATTCCAAATCCTTGACAGTATTTCAGTGTAGCCAATTCATTCTTTTTTATTAAAAAAAAAGCATTTTTAGCTATAGGATATGACACTGCTACTAGTTTTTTAATTAAGCATGTTTTTATTCTATAGGAAAAAACCACTTCTATAGATGAATCATTATTGTCAGAGAATTCTTTCTGGTATTGAATCTGTCGCTCTTTTCTTCACATAAAAAGTAAATGAAGAGATTTGAAGACAAAAAAAGCACTGTGTCATGCTCTATAACTTCATATGCTATTTTAAACAAAAGCAACTAAACATTTATGACAGCTTACAGAAAGGTTTATGTTATCAGTTGTTATGCTCACTCCTGTTTTGCTTGCGCATTTTCTTTAAATTCTAACATTAATTGGTGAAATAGAAGTCTCCGGAATACCTTTGTTTCTGTATCAATGTATACTAGAACAAAAAGTTTTAAAACTATTTTGGGTGTACCTTATTTAGAAAATATTGAATGTTCCATATACGTATTGTCCTAATTAATTTATTTGAAATATTTTTATTTTCTACAGTCGTGTTTTATGTGAGACTTAAATATCTTTCACAAATTCATCATCGAACTTGAGAACAAACCCTAATTTAATGTTCCAATGATCCTCTTTTTTTTTTCTGTGAACAGAAAGTCAACTCTCTGTAGTTAGAACATTTATCAAAACTTAAAATGAAAGACTGTGGATAATTATATATACATCAAGAGAAGAATCTTTTGTTTTTGTTTTTTTTTTATTGATTTTTAGTTACCAACATTAAACCTTTTACAATCAGATAATTCAACATTGAATGCCAATCAATGGACACTTCTATCAAATTTATTTCATAGTTATGATGAAAGTAAACTTCTTTTGATTGCTCAACAATTGATGAACGAAAACAATCTTGGCAAATCTATGAAATCTATTGATTCAACACTTCCAACACAATTTTTCATGAAAGCTTATGAAACAACAGGAGACTATTTCAACTCTAATAATGATCTTCGTAGGTTATCATTGGATAATTGTTATACATTTCTTCGTAATGCTGCTGAAAGTATCAATTGCCTAGGTACAATATTTAGTTGGAGACGATCACAAGTTTACAAATGTAAACATTTTGTAAATGCTTGTATAGATCTTTATGGACAAGCTTCCGTAGATATGATTGAACATATATTAAAATATCTTGATTCAGATATTGTCATCATTAAACTAGCATTATCATTATTTACTTTCTCAAATAATATTACAATATTTTCTTCTATTACAACAATAAATTCAATAAACACACTTGACATTCTTCATATTCAAAATACTTATGCTGAAGTAACATGGAAATATATACTATATAAATATGGATTTTATCAATCTATTCAACGATTTATGAATCTTATTCAATGTCTTTTGGCTGCAACGAATGCTTTATATAAAGCACATGATATCGAGAAACATGAGAATGATATTGAATTACTTGTTGAAAATATTGAATTAGAACTTCTTTTAGATGATATTGAACACATCAATTAAAGCAAGAAGAATGTTACTGTTTGTTTAAAATCATTTGAAAAGAATAAACTTATTGTAATGGTATTCTTTTATTTTTAATAAAATTATTTGTCGTAAAAAAAGTTTGATTAACTTTTGTAGATGTAGTTTTAAACTAAATGAAAAATAATTGATCGTATTACATTGATATTAAATCGACTCATGAGACTATTTTCTATTCCATACGAAAGAAAAGTTTAGAAAAATGTTTACAAATTGCAAAACTTCACTTAATACTGGAATTGAACAGATTAATCAAATTAGGTTGCATTTTATTTGTAAAAAATAAGTGCTAATTAGACATTTAGAATGTATATGATGATTATTAATAATTATAAATTCATATCGACTAAGAGGATTGTATATGAATTTTATTTTTGAAAGAATAAAAATTTAAAAGTAAAAAAGAATCTATTCATTGTAACTAACCTCTTCTCTTTCAACATTTTGTTTTTATAAACATGTTACATGATGAACATGATATGGCACTACAATTTAAATGTAAAATACGAATAGCACAAATTTTTCAATTGACACGAAAGTTCCTTTGGCCTATATCTAATATTCAACGAATAAAAGAATAATTTAATCACTAGATTAATATGAAGGATTGTTGTTAATGAAGTCTCAGTTATTTCTTTACAACAATAAAGAAAGGTACATGTTATTGATTAGATAGCAAAGAGTCACGAGTACCCATTGTAATTTGTTCTTTTTCAACAGAACACATGTTTGATCTTGGGATATGCTTTGTTCTATATTGAATGGGTATTCTGACACGTTTTCTCTAGTATTTTTCTTACGAGAACAGAAAGAAAATCTTTAATCGTTCTTTGTTTATATTCTCTTCCATCAGACATTTATTTGTTAAAAATATGTTAGTTTATCGCCTATATTTTTTCGCATTAAATTTTTAAAATTATTTAACCATAAAGTTCACACGATCAAAAGATCTCTTGTTATTAAGTTTGGTCATAGCAGAGATAACAATAAAAGCATTATTCATCGCTACTTATAAATCATTAGATCATTTTAAGAATATTACACAAAGGTTAAGAAAATCTTCGTAGCAATGCAAACTTTATGAAGCACCAACTATATATTTGAATTTTGATGCTCTTCATGCAGAATAGTTTTCAATTGTCATGTAAAATGAGACGAGTTGATCTTGTAGACTTGATAGATGTTATGTTAATCGAATACGAACTAAAGTGATTCGATGTTCTAGAATAAGAAACACTACAACAAGACACAACAAAAAGTGATTGAACTAATGATGACAATAAATACTTTAGTCAGAAGAAATCTATCATAGCAAGTAAAATTTTTTTGTCTATTATTTTTCTGGAAATTTAGAGGGATTAATTTGTCTGTATTGTTGATTATGATAAACAATAAATAGAAATAGAATCATTAGGTTTTTAAAATGAAGATAACAAACAAGTAACGTTCATCGTCAAGCGATTCACTTAGCCCTAGACTGAT